ATTAGCTTTGTCAACTTGCTGAATCACAATGTTTTGTTTATACCCTCTTTCGGTCATAGTTAGTTTCAAAGAATCAATGTGACAGTCATAGTTCTTACTGTCAGAGCAGATTTTTTCTAATCTAAGTGCTTGACTGAATGTAATATTTCATTTGGTGTGTGGAGGGTGACAGCTTTGAAAATGTAACTATTGTGGTCTATCAGTCGGTTTACGGTACAAATCAGAATGTATAAAACCATCTTTTAATGTCAGGTTTACATCTAAAAAACGAATTTGAGTAGTGGAGTAATCTAGAGTAACTTTAAAAGAAGTGTGGAAAGAGTTTGCATGTCTATAGAAAGATAGTAAGGAGTCTTCGTCTCCTATCCAAATGAAAAAATGTCAAAAATGTATCGTTTCCAAATGTTTGGTTTCTCTTTATAACTTTCCAACAGTCTCGTCTCTAAGTCTCCCATGAAAACATTGGCATAGTTTGGTGCCATCTTGGTCTCCATAGCTGTGCCTTTTGTATGAGTATAATAAACAACTCTATTAAATTATATATATCAGCTGCCCAATGTCGGCTAACAATACATAGAATTAATTTGTGGCTAAATGCTACAAGTTCTTCAAATACCTATAGAATGACAGTTTTCTTTTTTGTGAGTGTAAAACACTTAAATACATCATTTTGATACCTCACTCCTAAAAAAAAGGCTTGGTTTGGTCTGATATTTCATTGTTGGTAGTGTCCAGGGTTACTAATGAGGAATAGAATTCTCCAAAACTAGTCTGGCTCACAGACACACCCTCAATGAAAGTATAGATCATTCCATGCTTTTACTTGTTGTTAAACAACTCTATTCAATTATGTACCAGCTGCCCAGTGTCAGCTTACAATACAAAGAACTAATATGTGGCAAAATGCTACTAGTTCTTCAAATACCTACAGAATGATAGGTTTCTTTTTTGTGAGTGTAAAACACTTAAATACACCATTTCGATTTTCGATACCTCACGACTATAAAGGCTTAGTCTGGTCTGATATTTCACTTCTAAATACTTCCTTCGTTCTGACGTTCATCAACTAATTCCAACGAGAAATGGCATAATTGTAAAAACTGGTAACCCTAAATTGTGTGATATACTGCATAATAAAATGGGTCTGCTTAAGCTGGGTCAATCTACCATGCTCACTCAACTTTGCTCCCCTGCTCTAAAACAACAACCTCCTCCTCGTCGTACACCTCTTTTCTCTTGTGTCATCCATGGTGTTGAACCTGGCATCACTGAAAAAGAGATTCTCTCCAAACTTCTATTTGAAAACATATCAGTCAAGCATGTCATTTGCATTCAAAATTCTTCTCGTTCTACCTTCATGATTCGTGTTTTGGCTGAGAATAGTGACCCTGTAGATTATCTCCTGTCTAATGGAGCCTTTCTTTTCTGTCAATGTCATCTGGGTTGAAGCTTCCTGTTCCCCAGCCCCAGGCTCTGTGCTGTGAGAGGTGCCTACTATACAACTCATATACCACTGCTAAATGCCCTAATTAACCAGTTTGTTCTCATTGTTGTGGGCCTCATCTCCTTCGCCAAAGCTTTCGCTTAAGCTCTCCTCCCCTCTGCAACACTTGCCATCTTGGTCATCCTACAGAGTAAGCCTACCTCCAAAACTGATGAACTTGCTTCTGTTGCTCCAGTGCATACCACCAATGCCATTACCCCTCTGGCCAACTCTGTTGCTATGTTTCCTACCACAGAGGATATCATCCATTTTGTCACAATGATACTACAGAATGTCCTCCCCTTCCAACGTACATTTGTTCTAGACTGTATTATCCATGCTGCCAAGACTGTCTTTCACCTTCACATGCAGACCACTTATTCTGGACTTAACTCTCACTTCTATGGGATCGTCTTCGTAACCTCCTGCTCCTGGAGATCTTGTTGGATAAAGGCTCCTATGATTGTGTTCTCCTTAATAAAACTTTTCTGAAACCCACTCAAAGGATCCATCTGTCCATGAACGTCCTATGGGTCGGGCCCGAGGAGGTGTGGCAATTGCTACTCGTACTCGCCTTCCCGTGCACCTACATTTCCTTCCACAGTCCACTTACCCTGAGCATTTGGTATTCACTGTTTACTTCCCATCTCGTATGATCACTATTGCAACAATCTACATTCGTCCCGGAGTTCCCTTGCCCAATGCCTTTCTCTCCTTTCTGGACCACTCTTTTCGCAGCTATATTCTTGTTGATGTCAACTACCACAGCAGAACCTCTGCCGAACTTGCCCATTTTCAGCCCTCCTTATGTTCCCTTTCTGGTTATTTGCTACCCTTGCCAACCCCTAGTTGTCCAATTTCTCATTCGTCACCTAATATTGTCTTTGTTTCTTCCAACATGGTTCCTTTTATCACTCTCCAGATGTGTCCTCCAGTTGGTAGTGATCATCTCCCCATAGAACTTTGTGTCCATTCACAGTACTTGTCTGCTCCTCGTGCTTCCTGTCGGACTCATTTAAATTTTCGTTCTGCCAATTGGAAATCTTATGCTTCACACATTACTAATGCCATACCAGATATGGATCGACCTCTACTACAGCAGAAAATGTTGACTCATTCACCACCTTACTCACCACTCTTCTCTCTGATGCCAGTTCTTTACACATACTGACTTCTTCTTCAGCTCCCCATAAACCAGCCTTACCTTGTAGAGCTGTAGATCTGTTGCATCACTGTTCCACTTTATTGTGTGAATACCGTCAGTCTCATGATCCTTTGTGGCTGAAATGATCCTGGGGTCTTCAACGTACTGCCCATAATTTTGTTCGGGTAGTCCAACGTCAGCGGTGACATCAGACCTGTAACAAACTCGCCATTCCTCTTCTTCCTCGCAATTCTGGAACTGTTTTAAGCTCCTCACAGGTCAACGATGCTCTCCCTCCTATCCTATTCTTGTTGATGGTGCTGCATCTTCTACATCTTTGGACAAGGCTGACCATTTAGCTGCTTTTCATGAACACAACTTTCAGGTACTGGAACATCATATTCTTGACTACAGTGACACTACTACCATCGTGAACTCAACCATTGGCCTTACTCCTAGTTCTTCCCATGTTGTTGACAATGATTTCTTACATGCTCCCATTATTGCAGCTGATATCCGGCAGGTTCTGAAGAACAGTCGTAACTCTACCCCTGGCCCTGATGGCATCACTTACTGCCAAGTCTGTCATGCCCCTATGCAATTCCTTCGACTTCTTGCATTGTTCTACACCTTTCTTCTTTCCTCAGGATTTTTTCCTGGTTCCTGGAAGTTGTCCACTATTCTGCTTTTTCTGAAACTGGGGAAACCTGCCTCTGATGTTAATTCTTATCGTCCTATCAGCCTCAGTAGTGTTTTGCGTAAAACCTTTTAATGCATCCTTGTTGCCTGTCTTCATCAATTCATAGCTGCTCACAACTTGCTGCCTCATACACAGGCGGGATTTCGCCCACGCCTTTCTATTTTGGATCAATTTCTCAAATTGTTTGACTCACTTTCCAATCATTTCAACACTCGAAGACCCTCCTGCATGCTCCTGTTTGATTTCCGGCGGGCTTTTGACTGAGTTTGGCATCAAGGTTTAATCCACAAACTGCATATGTTACACTCTCCTATTCCCTATATTCCTCTCACCTCCTCTTTTCTCCATAGGCGGCACGCTGCTATTTTTCGATTGATGGGTTTCTCTCTCACACTTTCACACTACATGCTGGAGTCCCACAAGGTTCTGTGTTGTCTCCCCTTCTGTACATTCTCTATGTTGCTGATATGCCTTGTCTCCAGCCTCCTCTTCAATTGTTTCAATATGCTGATGACACAGCTTTGGTAAGCCCATTGTTCCACGATGTACACACTGAATAAGCTACTCCAGGCTGCTGTAAATTCTTTTTTGTATTGGTGTCACTGCTGGCGTCTATCCCTCAATGTCCCTAAGACACGAGCCATTCTTTTTGGTCAATCACGTCATAAGTTTGATGTCTGGGTCGACAATGTCCCAATCCTCCTTTCCAACTCCGTGACCTATCTTGGCATTGTCTTACTTGGAAACCATACATATCTGCCCTTTCTTCTAAGGTTTCTCATTGCCTTAATCTCCTCCATTCTCTCACTGGTACCTTCTCGGGCCTGAACCCTCCAATTCTATTATACACATACAAGACATTTATCAGACCCTGCTTAACCTATGGCCATACAGCCTGGATATCTGTTTCTCTGACCTTCTATTCTCATCTCCAGGTTTGGTGCGCCATGCCCTCCGGCTCGTCTTTGGTGTCAAACTCCCTAGTCCCACGTCTGACCTTTATCGCCACATTCTGTTACGCCTTGGACAGCTTCGCACTCGCTATGTAAATAACTGTTTTCGTGACCACAGTCTCATTTTATCCGATGTTCTCGCCACCACTGTGTACACTCCGAGAAGCATTTTGGCACCAGCTGATCACCTACTGAACCTCTATGTTACGTCCCTCTCAGCTGACAATCCCAACCATGTCGAGATGCCGATGTCCCCTCTTCCCCCATTTATCTATCCTGATTCCTAATACTCGCAATACCCGTTGCCAGTTCCCATACTATCTACCTTATGTGATATAGACTGATCAGTGTTTACCCATATTTGACCAGATTGTTTCCTCCATTTGCACATACCGCGTTTTCCCCATTTTTAGCCTCCTGTGCTGACTTGCACGCTTACCCTCCTATTATTCATTTTTACCATTTTTCTTTTTTCATTGCTTGGCCGATGAGAGGGCATAGCCTTTACCGGCCCGCCAGTCACTCCGGGATCGGAATAAAATAACGCATATATTGTTGTTGTTGATATTTCATTGGTGGTAGTGTCCACGGTCACTGATGAGGAGTGGAATTCTCCACAACTAGTCTGGCTCACAGGCAAACACGCAATTAAAGGATAGACCATTCGAAGCCTTTACTTGTTGTTAAACAACTCTATTCAAAGACTAGAAAAAGCTTTAGATAAAACCACCTAGTGAGCACAGGATTGCTCGATATTTTTAATATGGACTGTAACGAGTGGGAAAATAGAGCCGAGCTACAAATACCTATACATTCTACTGGGGTTGTTGCTTTTGGTTGTACTTCTAACATAGGCTATTAATATTAATTACTGTACAACAATGAACACAGTAATGTTTAGTCACTATTATCAACATGTTGAATAATTAAATGGTATCATAATTGAGTAATTCGCTAAAAGATTTTTTTTTTTTTACTCTTTACATTGGTATGAAATATTAAAACGACGTTAGTAACAAGATACTTTTGTAGCTGAAGAGCAGATCAATCATTTTGCTTTTTGCTAATAAACCTCAAACAACCATCTTAGGAAATTATTTCTCTTTGAAACAAACAATTACACCATATAATCCATTGAGAGTAAATCACAATTTATCTAATTAGATTTATATATACTTAAACTATAAAATGCAAAATAAACTTTATGATGTCACTCGGTATCAATTAAATTTGATATACAAACAACTTTCCTGCATAAATGTTTTAGTGTTAAAATTAGAAAATCCACTGTCTTATCTAGCCGATATGAAATACGCGATAAATAGAAACTAAATGGGCTAGATTAGGCATACTGATGAGGAATATTTCAGATCAGTAGTTACAATATAAGTTACATACATACTGTCATTACATAATTTGCTTAGCAAGACAGTTCCTGAAAGTCTAGAAGATATTCTGTTGTTATAACTCCTTGTAAGTATTGTAATACTCAAGTAGTTGTTTAAAATTAATTTACATAAAATTTGTATTTTTTGTTTGGAATCTTTATATCTACTGATAATTGTTTAAGTTTACATACAGAATATAAAGTAAGAATGCATTACTTTTTTACCCTAACTAATAATGTTGTTGCTGACGCTTTTTGCAGAAGCCTTTATCTAGGTAATTGGAGGTATAAACAGTAAAGAATGGGGGCCAGTTTCAAAAACTGAACTCTTCATGTTGGACGACGAAAGCATCAGAAAACCGAAAGAAATCCCTGTTCCTTTAACTGGCGTATCAGTAATTGTCATACCTCCAGTAGAAGATGTTTTACGAACTGGAAAATATAGTACAACTAATATTATTATCAAATATCCTTTCCAGATCTTAGGCTCAAGTTTTGAAGTAGAAAAGCTAGGGTTGTGAATTACTTAGGCTAAACATTAAACTGTTAGTTTTAATAACATAAAAATATAAGCTTTTTGATATTACCACAAACTAGCAAATTTTCAAAGGTTTGAGTGTTATTATTAATATAGTATTAAGGAGAAAAGGCCCTTCGTTAAAAACGTAAATTCTCTGTGAAATTATTCTGATTATAAGCATTTATTTGCATCACAGACGATTAGACTTTATGGTCTTATGAACATATTTGAAAGTTGAATAACTTAATTTAACTTTATCAACTAAGCCGTCCCTAATTTAGCAGTGTAAGACTAGAGGGAAGGCAGCTAGTCATCACCACCCACCGCCAACTCTTGGGCTACTCTTTTACCAACGAATAGTGGGATTGACCGTCACATTATAACGCCCCCACGGCTGAAAGGGCGAGCATGTTTTGGTGTGACGGGGATTCGAACCCGCGACCCTCGGATTGCGAGTCGAGCGCCCTAACCACCTGGCCATGCCGGGCCAGGTAAGAGTGAAGGATCACAGCGCTAAAAATCGGATTGTCGACACTCATGGTGAGCACAGCGCAGATAGCCCATGGTGTAGCTTTGTGCTTAACAATAAATAAACATACAATATTAATGGGCTAATGAGAAATATTACACAATATTCAAAGATAAATGTCATAATTATTATGTATTGATGGAATCGTAATAAAAAAAAATTCGTTAAAGTGATGAAGCTGTAAATAATCTGAAGTTAACGTTTTAGAATATAATTTAGGTCGTTCCTATTTCACTCTTGAGCCTAATCTAGGTACTCCCAGTTAGCTATAAAGCTTAATTTAAATACTCCCGAGCTAGAATATAATTTAGGTCGTTCCTATTTCACTCTTGAGCCTAATCTAGGTACTCCCAGTTAGCTATAAAGCTTAATTTAAATACTCCCGAGCTAGAATATAATTTAGGTCGTTCCTATTTCACTCTTGAGCCTAATCTAGGTACTCCCAGTTAGCTATAAAGCTTAATTTAAATACTCCCGAGCTAGAATATAATTTAAATACCAGTGAAGCTGCATTATTTTAGAGTTTGACTGAGCTAATTGTATAAGGTGGGTAGATAGATGACCATGAACTATAGCTGCAATTAAAGAGTAGTCTAGATACTCATGAACTAGTTGTAAATGGTAATCTTAATACTTCTGAATTAGTTGTATATGGTAATCTAGATATTCATGAATTAGTTGTAAATGGTAATCTTTATACTTCTGAATTAGTTGTATATGGTAATCTAGATATTTCTGAATTAGTTGTAAATGGCAATGTAGATGCTCCTAGGCTAGTTGCAAATGGTAATCTTGTTACTCCTGAATAGATGTAAATGGTAATCTAGATACACCTGAATTAGTTGTAAATGGTAATCTTGTTACTCCTGAATTAGATGTAAATAGTAAGCTAGATACTCCTGAATTAGTTTTAAATGATAATATATATATAATCCTGAACTAGTTGTAAATGGTAATCTAGATATTATAATGCTAGTTGCAAATTGTAATCTAGTTGTCCCTAAACTAGTTATAAATCGTAATTTAAATACTTCTGAATTAGTTGTAAATGGTGATCTAGATACTTCTGAAATAAGTCTAAATGGTAATCTAGATACTCCTGGACCACTTGTAAATGGTAATCTACATATTCCTGAACTAGTTGTAAATGGTAATCTACATATTCCTGAACTAGTTGTAAATGGTAATCTACATATTCCTGAACTAGTTGTAAATGATAATCTAGATACCCCTGAACTAGTTGTAAATGATAATCTAGATACCCCTGAACTAGTTGTAAATGATAATCTAGATACCTCTGAACTGGTTGTAAATGATAATCTAGATAATCCTGAACTAGTTGTAAATACAGATCTAGATACTCCCAATCTTATTGTAAGTAGATCTTTTTACTTTTTTATTCACTTGTGAATTAACCTAGAATTTTTTCTGGTTATATCCATTATTAGTTTCTATGCTACTTACTCGTGGTTTTATGTTAGTAACATTTTCTACCTGCCTGAATAACGGCAACAAGAATGATTTTGTCTAGTTTTTGCTCGATGACGTGGTGATTAGTCAAACCTTTTATCCTCTTACAAGATTTTGCTGACATTTTGATTTTTTGTTTACCTTGACGTCCTTATCCCATAATAGTTGATATTACACAAATCTTAAACCAGTTTATCGTTAGAGAACAAAATTGGAAGCTACATAAAATGATTATTCATTAATGATATTTTAAAGAAAAGAACTTTCTCTGAACATGACTTTCCTCTTTTGACAGAAATTCAACAGATACATAAGCCAATTACAGTTTTCAAAAAACACTTTTAACGCAAGTACGTTGGAAAAGAAGTTTTCTGTCAAAGTAATAAACTTTGATGAGCAGCATCTCTCTAAAGCAGTGCCTAAAAAAAAAAAAAAACTTACAAACTTTAACCATAAATTTTCTTATCTATCATCATTTTCCCAAAATTTGCTTTAAGCTTTGAAATATATTTTACGAATTTGTGCTCAATCAAGTTTTATTGGATGATATATGCTATTTTCAAAAAACAACAGGATTGTTTGATTTTTCATATTGTAAATATAGAATCATCTTTGGTGATCGAAGCAAGCCAAAACAATGAGCTTGCCAAAAGTGTTCAGACTCCTTCAGTACGTGGTAAAATGCACTTAGCATGCTCAATGAGCATCAGTATAAAGCCATAACAGATATGTAGAATAGTAGTGTCAAAGTGTTTGCTAGATAACAAAACGTCGTGAGAGAGATGGGTAACATACGTGGTTGTAGGTAGGGAAATCAATATATTAAATGAACGTGGTACTTTATATTGTACGAACTACTACATTTCCAACCTTTTAAAATGCATTAATGCTGGTCAAAATGCTGTTGAAGGGTAGAAAACACCTAGTTGTTATGATAGTGGAAAAAATACCGCCAATCTTTATATAAATTACAATCAGATTTATTGAATTAAGTGTCACAACGTGAGAACAAGTGCTATTTATGAAGTCTTGTAATGTGCTCGCCAAGAAGTGAAGGTTTTAGAAGGGCTAGGGTCCACTTCTGGTACTGTTTTGTTTTATATAAGACCCATCAGAACTGGAACCTTGGTTGTGAATCGTTAAATTGTGAATCTTGGCGATTGTTGCTAACTCTATGGAGCTATGAAACTATTTGACTTTATTTCGGGGTGGTGGCTCTATATGATTCCGTAAGCAAGCACACAAAAACGAATAATTAATTCATCATTGTGTTGTTCCAACTTTGAAGGATTGTGGTGAGGGTGTTCTGGCATGGGGCGTAGGACTTATCTAAGAAATGTCTGCACCTTTAAATGTAATTGGACACAGATATATATATATATATATATATATTAAACGACCACTCTCTTGGTACTATGGCGGGGTTTTATCGCCAATGCGATATTCCAGAGGTATGATGATGCCTCTACTCTAAGGCATGTATAATACATGCTTGATTTAAAAGCAACGAAATGAATGTCTTTAAATAACCTAAACAGTCCAGTTTGTATCCAGTAGAATACCTTTTAAACCGTCAGAAGAGAATATTTTGAAAGTCTTCTGGTTGTTGAGTGACTAAGCCTTTGAAACAACAATGACATAAACTTCACCAGATACCCCTGGAAACTGACAAACTTCATACTTCACAAAACTGCACTAGACAGCCTCAGAAATTAGCTGACACAGCATACTTCACAAAATTTCACCAGAAACTAGCTGACACAGCATGTTTCACAAAACTTCACCAGAAACCACTTGGGATCTAGCTCACAGTATGCTTTACATAGCTTCACCAGAAATTAGCTGACACAGCATACTTCACAAAACTTCACCAGAAACTAGCTGACACAGCATGTTTCACAAAACTTCACCAGAAACCCCTTGGAATCTAGCTCACAGTATGCTTCACATAGCTTCACCAAAAATTAGCTGACGCAGCATACTTCACAAAACTTCACCAGCAACTAGCTGACACAGCATATTTCACAAAATTTCATCAGAAACTCATTGGAATCTAGCTCACAGTATGCTTCACATAGCTTCACCAGAAATTAGCTGACACAGCACACTTCACAAAACTTCACCAGAAACTAGCTGACACAGCATGTTTCACAAAACTTCACCAGAAACCCCTTGGAATCTAGCTCACAGTATGCTTCACATAGCTTCACCAGAAATTAGCTGACACAGCACACTTCACAAAACTTCACCAGAAACTAGCTGACACAGCATGCTTCACAAAGCTTCACCAGAAACTAAATGACACAGCATGCTCCATAAAACTTTATCACAAACCCCGCAAACAAGCTAACATCATGCTTTACATATAGCAGAAATTATTCAAACAACATCCTATGCTACACAGTATTAGAGTAGTGGCCACTAGTGCCCTGTCTATGGCTCCTTTGGCTGGGAAATTAATATCTCACATTAAATTTTCATGTTGCCTTATTAGTCTGATATATAAAAGATGTTATGGTTGCATGTATGCTTTAAACATGGATTAAAATAGAAGATAAATATGTGTCATATTGTCGTATTCAAAGATCTTAAAATTTTGTGAACCAATAAAATCTAGAAATCATGTTAAGATTCATGTACACTTTTACTCGTATGTAAAAAATAGTAGCATATGATGTATGCTAGAAAACATGATTAAGCTAAACATCCTATCAAAAAGTTCGTAATACTTCTTGAAATTTTCCGTATAATAAAACAATTCTTAGTCTATACTCATTGACGTCTTCTGAATAACAGGTGCTGAAAGTACTCATAATTGTTACTTATGTAGCAGTCTTTCAGATTGTTTGCATTTTTTCGTCTGTATACATGTATCAACTTTTAAAGTTTAGAGATGGCTTGAGCGGGTAACAAAGAAAACAAACGTTTAATTAAATGACCATTAGGTACTGATGATGACAAAACCTTGTTGAAACGCTGTTAAACTTGTAATAAACGTTTCTCCTTTACCCATTCAAACCGTTTCTAAACCTTATTAATCACAAAATTGGTTGCTCGTCATCTCAATTTTGATTCTAATATGCGTGTTCATCATGACCGGTAGATAGTCAGATCACTTCGGCTACATATTTGCAAATCAACTTTCAAAATATATTTTAATTTTATTTTAAATAGCTTATTAAAAATATTGCAGTATTTATATTTTAGTATTATATAATTTAAATTTTTCTTAACTAAAAAATGGAAAATATATAATATACACTCCACTGCTATGTGAAGCCTACTTATGTTTTCTTGATTTGCCCTTGTCCAGGGTTACTGATAAGGGGTGGAATTCCCTGAAACTCGATGACAAGTGGTAAATCGAATGACAAATTGGATTCATATTTATTTTCAGTACTTCCCAATTACATATAGGCTTGATATTTTTTGATGATATCAATTTAGTCCTGATGCAAAATGATAAAAACCCTATAACCCGAGCGCTTTCGAAAGATGAACCTTTCTTCTTCAATAGCAAACAGTGTGTATCATTTTGTATCAAGACTTCTTGAAACTATGTGTTTTTCTGACATCATGAATTTAGTCCTGATAATATTTTTTGTACTATACTTATGTTCTTTTGGAAGTTATAGGAAAATGATTCTGTGACAATACGTCAAATAGGGATATTAAGATTCAACAAATATTGTAAGCTACTATGGCCTATGATAGGAAACAGTTCAGTTAACACAAATTATTTTTTATTGGATATATTATTAAGCGTATTGTTTTCAAACAATACGCAAAAATACATTAAGTTCTTATTTATTTGAAACAAATTATAATTATTAGATGTAAATTAATCTCGACCAAATATTTTGTGGACAAAATATTACACTATTCCGTACTTGACAAAATAAACAGTGTCGTCATATTGGAAGAAAGATGAGGTTATTTTTCACTTGTAATTAACTCTCAGTCGTATCTTGTGTGTGTGATTTACAGCGAGAATTCGACAGCTTGAATCGGCAAAATAAAGTATCAAAAGATGAATACTGATGTTTATCAAATAAGGTTGAGAATGATATGATATACAATATGGAAAAATATAAAGTCCAAGACGAAAGGAATTGTTTTTGTTTTTCAAAACAGTTCCTCAACAAATTTTCGGTCATTTCACAACCTAGAAAATTACGTAAATACTGAATCGAATTTTAGTAGACACTATTCAGAAATTTTGTACCACATATCACGCAAGTTGGATTAATTTCACCTAGAGAATGAAAATAACGGTGATACCCCTCCGGATCAGAAAGGCTGTAGATACGTTGTTCCGTTTATTAAACAAAAAGGAAATTGTCTCGTCTCGAAAAGACGGAGAAAAGCAGTTTACTTATAATTATGTGACATTATATACATACATGGTTATATAACAAACAGCTGAGTACATATTAAGACACATGTTTTTACTTTATGTAGGTTTTCCATTTTCAACAAGGTGTCACGACAACCAGTTACCGCTGTCAAGTTGTTGAGCTGCCGAAACTTGGATTTAATTAACAAAATTTTGAAAAGGGTTACTATTTGTTGATTTCGAATATTAATTATTTAGCGACACTTGTGCTATAGTCAAATATACTAATTTTTGACGTCTAATACCTGATTTTCAAATCTTTTATCGGGATATTGAAATTCTACATTTTCATTGTGTTGGTCTTAGCCATCAATATATTTAATCCAGCACTTGATTGGACGGATTTTATCTTCATACAATGTCGACTATTTTGGAGACTAAGAAATATTTCATGCCCCTAGAAGCTTGTTACGTGAATGCTAGGTAACAGTGGACTCTTGGAATCATTCGTTTTGAAATCATCAACGTCTTGGTTACTGTAGTCTTCATCGTCGTTTTGATTATCGGTAACGGCAATATATTTATTTTCGCCGACGATACTCAGTCTATAACGATGAACACTGGAGTTTGGACTGTTTTCTCGGGACGAGATGGCGCTATACTCACCACGAAGAATGTCAATTGTATTGGTAGGAGGCGTTGAAAATTCTATTGCACAACTGTCTTTAGTTGCAGGTAGGCTGGAAAATGGAAATACTAACTGTATAATAAAACTGATGAAATTCATTGTCCTAAATATTTTGTTAAAATAATACAAAGTACGAACACTATTTTAAATTTTTGTATGGGGGTGTCTTCCAACCCTCGTAGTGAATATTTTACGTGCATGGCGTTTTGAGTTGTCTACTCGCCAAAGTAAACCGTTATTTACGTAGATTCATTGTGGTGAGTAAAAAAAAAGAGTTAAAACATCATGGATGTAATATATACTCCACCATTATATGAGGCCTAGGCTTATTGTTTCGATTTGCCCTTGTACAAGGTTACTGAAGAGGGGTGGAATTCCCCGAATAAAGTGGGCAGTATACTAGTGATGCAAGTAAATAACCCTGAAAGAATTTGCATAAAATGTTTTGAGGCGAATTGACTTGTTTGTTTGTTGTTAAGCGCAAAGCTACACAATGGAATATCTGTGTTTTACCCATCACGGGTGTTATAAACTCCCAGACGAGTGGGACAAAAAGTGCTAAATTACAGTTTACAACAACTTCAGTTCTTGATTCTGATGCTTATTTGAAGGATTAAATTACTTTCTTGACAGTAACTGCTAGAAAACGATTTTGTATAATTACCTGTGACTTCAAGTTGACAAGGATGACAGGAAAGTATAATTTGCTGCATGCAAAGATGTTGAATAATTAAAGATATTTTTAAGAATATCTGATTTTGAATAGAATCACAGGAATAACTTAACGTTACTCCAACAAGTAGAAGCTTGAACGTCCTTTATTTGAAACTTTAAATCAATACATTCAGAAACGGAAATATGCCGTTTACTTCATTTCCTAAAATGAGCTTGATAAATAAATATTAAAAGAAGCTATCAGTAAAGAAAGTCAGTCTTGGTATGCATTGATAAATAATAGATAATTAATGTAATTTGTCTCAGAAACCGGGAGAAGAAGGGAAGGCAAAATTGTTTTTTATTTTTCTAACCGTAATTATGTAAACCAAAACAGTAACTACAAAACTCCCCCTATTTAATATGATCAAACTTCACACCATTTATTACAAAAAATTGCATTGTAATTCGGAGAAAAGATCGTTACTATAGCAATAAAAGGTAGTAACTGCCTTTGGAGAATGCAACAAATATAGACTTTTCAGATCAAAATAAACTATAATCACGCACGTACGCAAGGGGGGTTTGGCTGAACCTCCTATTTTTGTGATGTAAAAGAATTATGTTTATATAGTTATAGCGCAGCTGCTTATAGTATTCAACGTTTTCTACATAGTCTACATTCTTCTGATGAAGCATTAGCATATTTTGGCTTGAAATAGTCGAAAGCCCCAGATCCCCGTAACATCAGCATGCTTTGTATGCTGATTGTGCTTCGTATAATATATGTTGGCTTTTGATCTCACAAAACAGAATCCCCCTTTCAAACAATATTCAAACAGGGCTGATAATAACAAGATGACAAAATTCTGAAGTTTGTTATCAAAACGTTTTATATATTTTTTAACAGAAGAGGTCGCTTTGTATGATAAATATAACTCCATGAGGTATTTGAGTTTTCAAGTACAAAAATAAGTCAGTCACTCAAAGAGGACTTTCGTGGTGAATGCTATAACAAACCAGAAAACTTGTCATTAATAAAATGTTTTCTTTATCGGAAAAAGTATAAGTTAGTGTTTAACGAATTTACAAAGAGAATGTCAGTTAGGCAGTTATTTACAAACGATGGCTTGAACGATTTTAAAACAAAATTCACTTTTTATCGGTCCCCCAGTGTCACAGCGGCATGTCTGCAGACTTACAACGCTAGAATCCGGGTTTCGATACCCGTAGTGGGCAGAGCACAGACAGTCCATTGTGTAGCTTTGTGCTTAATTACAAACAAACAAACTTTTTATCGAAACTACAGTATCGTTATATCTCTTTAAAAAAGTTAAATTTTTATGAGTGTTTAAGATTTAAATTTAACTTTGAAGGTTTATCACTTAATGCAAAAACTGAAAATACTCTTGCCAAGTCTGAATCTGAACTACGTAACGAATGGCGTGCAAATACAAACGGTCAATAATAACAGTATTGAATTAAATGATGGGAAAAATAATAGAAACATTTTCTCAAATTATAAACATTTATCAAACAAAAGTCATTTATATGATTTAGTTGAAGTAAAAATTAAAAAAAGAAAAACTGTCCGAACATAAAATAAGCGTTGTTGTAAAAACACCATAGACATTAAGAAGTCATTCGGAAAGTGTGCCAAGACAATTTTCTCTTTCAATTTGTTGTTCAGTTTTGATCGTTTATCACACAGGAATATAAACAATACCCACACCATCGGGCTGGGGTTAATATTTATACCTGTTTTACATGTACCTTTACACCATAGTTAAATTTCATACATATTTCAATTGTCACAAGTTTACCAAATTTAAATGTCTTGATATTCATTGTGCTGTGTACTTTGAGGATAGTGACGGGAAGAGCAGCCTCGGGTTAGGCTTAAATCACTCAAACTAGAGCTCCACTTATTTCTCTTTCTTCAATTCTAATTTTCATTTTAGTTGTCCTGCTTTTAATATGATCTGTCTTGAATCGGTCAAGCGTGTACTATAACTAATTCAGCGTGTGTCATTACGTAATCCTTTTCTGTTGTTTTGATTAGTTTCTAGCTGATCTATGCCGAGGGACTGTAATTTCTTGGACTTGTTTTCTTACAATTACTGTTGATATGGGATCTTTTGGCATTGCTGCTTCTACTACTTCGTTTTTATTTGATCCCAATAAGAATCCTTCTGGGTTTAGTTCTTTTTATGGAATTTTTCGGCCTAAACGTTTTCCTTCTTATCAAGAAGAATTCAACATAGAACCACAACGTCGTATCAGAAAAAAAGAAAAACTCTAAGCAGGAGAAGTCCATAAAAAAGAACTACTTCCAGATTAAAGCACTGCCAGAACCAACCCTTAAAGAAAAACTGTAAAGTATCTTCTGCTTCCCCTAGTCTCTCAGGCCAGATTGCTGTGGATCTTTTTACTTTGTAAATACGCACAGTTCTTTTCCATTTTAACGATTTCTTGTTAAGTAATTATAAGAATTTGCACACTTCTGATAAAAGAGTTAGCACACAGGATCAAACACAAAAGCTGAAATGAATTAATAAAAAATAGTTGACTATTCTCCTGAAAAATAATTGTCAACTATTCGAAAGCGCTAGAATTTCCACACTTTTCAGATAATGCTTTTTCAGTGTTATTGTCGAAATTAGTGATTGGGAAGTTTAGATTGTTTGTTTGTTTGTTTTTTTTTAATTTCGCGCAAAGCTACACGAGGGCTATCTGCGCTAGCCGTCTCTAATTTAGCAGTGTAAGACTAGAGGGAAGGCAGCTAATCATCACCACCCACCGCCAACTCTTGGGCTACTCTTTTACCAACGAATAGTGGGATTGACCGTCACATTATAACGCCCCCACGGCTGAAAGGGCGAGCATGTTTGGTGGGTCGGGGATTCGAACCCGCGACCCGCAGATTGCGAGTCGAGCACCCTAACCACCTGGCCATGCCGGGCCACGGGAAGTTTAGAACTAGCACTTAAAGCCAAATAGGGCTGGATTTTAGGAAAAAATTAATTTCGCGCGTTTGTGAACTTTAAAATTGAAAGTTCGGATTTATTATGTCCAATACCACACTGAAGTTTGGGAATAATCTTGGTTTTATTTCACCAAACCATAGTTGGGAAAATACATAATAAAACTTCTAGTCTAGAAGTGATTTTTTTGTGTGTGATAAAAGATCCAACTTATAAGACTGAAGACATGCTATAAGATACACGGAGTACAATTGTATTTTTGGTGTGTGTAAGATTTCGTTATTGTTTTTTTCGGTTTACATTACTGAGTGTAAGTGTTCGATTGTATTTCACTTAAATGCAGAGGTAGTTTCAGGTGTTCCATGTACGATGGAATGCTTAATTCTCATGCTAATATCTAACAACTCCTTCTCCATTCTACTTAATGCTGATGTTCTTCATGTGTGCGTATGAGAGAGAGAAGGCGGAGGTCTAGAAACACACATTATTACTGTGGATAACATCATTAATGCTGAAGTTAAAAAAAAATAGAAGATTAGTCGATGATTTTAATATTGAAAACAAAAGTACCCAAGTAGATTTATTGTTGCCTACTGATCACTATTAGATCCTTCAGTGAACATCGTAATGTTTTCGTTCACGTTAACAAGTTCTGATACCATCTGAACCTGTTAAAATTATTCCAATGCCTATATCTATTACGTTAACGTCTATGAAATGTTTATTTTTGTGAAATCTCATTATATTCGATATCATTCTAAAAAAAGAAACCAAAATCTTCAGACTCGTGGTCTTGAGAAAAAATCTTGGAAACAAGGTTCTTCTTCACTGTATTTTTATTTATGAATCCTTGATTTTGTTTATGTCATCTATCAGAAGTGCATACCTAGGAATCCCGTCACCAAACATGCTCGCCCTTTCAGACGTGGGAGCGTTATAATGTTACGGTCAATCCCACTTTCTGTTGTTACTATAGTAGCTTAAAAATTGGCAGTGGATGGTATTGATTAGTTGCCTTCCCTCCAGTCTTTCACTGCTAAATTAGGGACGGTTAGCGCAGGTGGCCCTCGAGTAGCTTTGCGCGAAATTCAACAAACAAACAAACAAAAAAAAAGGGTATAGGAAGACAACATTTAATAGGAAGATATTAAAATGTTTTCTTTGAGGAGAGGAATTGACTTTTCTTGATGACTACATATTTTTTAGGTTAGATTTGCATATTGGGAAGCAGTCTTCTCTTGACAGTAGTGTAGTTTTCACTAGTGAACGAGTAATATATACTTGAAGTGATATACGGAGAGCTACGATAACTAATATAGGTTATTCTACTTTTCTGCTTATACTTGAAAATTTGCAATGTTCTAATGGGGATAAATATTTTTATTTTTAATGTTGTTTTTCTTTCAGGATTTTTTAAAGGAGCTCCTATATGAAATTCGTCAGTTCGTATATTACCTAGTTAGTTTTCTAACGTTTATTTGTTTTAAAGCCGTGGTGGAATTCTGGATGCAACAGACTGGTTTGTTTATGTTACAAGACTAATAAGTCTTGTTTCTCAAGACTTAAACAAGGTTATTCTGAATTTCTATGAAATGCCTTTTCCTTCATTAAAATACACTCTTTCAACGAGTTTAAGGAAATTTTCTGCTTTTTATGAAGTTAGAAGTCTTTTGGTAATGGTTAACATTGTTTTCTTATGCAATTTGTTTCCTTCTAAAATATGTGTACTAAAGCTTATGCTATTATTATTATTATAGAAAAAAAACCCAGCATTTCAGCCAAATCATATACACGCTTTTATTTGGGGGAGGTGGGAGTCTCCTGAAGAACTCTGGAAATATCTTACAGACACGATTAGTGTGTTAATTCCCTCCAAAGAGCTTTTCTTCAGTGTCTGGGTAGCTTTTGAACATGAATCAAGGACCAGTTTTATAACTCTCTCTTACATTGTTTATTTTATAATTCTCTCCAACATTGTATATCTTATAACTCTCTCCTACATTGTTTATTTTGTAACTCTCTTCTACATTGTTTGTTTTATGACTCTCTCCTACACTGTTTGTTTTATAACTCTCTCCTACTTTGTTTGCTTTATAACTCTCTCCTACACTGTTTATTTTATAACTCTCTCCAACATTGTATATCTTGTAACTCTTTCCTGTGTTCTTTGTTTTATAACTCTCTCCTTCATTGTTTGTTTTATAACTCTTTCCTGTGTTCTTTGTTTTATAACTCTCTCCTACATTGTTTGTTTTATAACTCTCTCCTACATTGTATATTTTGTAACTCTCTCCTACATTATTTGTTTTATAACTCTCTTCAATGTTTTATATTTTGTAACTCTCTCCTACATTGTATATTTTGTAACTGTCTCCTACATTATTTATTTAATAACTCCGTCCAACATTGTATATTTGTGACTCTCTCCTGTGTTGTTTGTTTTGTAACTTACACCTACATTGTTTTTTTTCTCTGTATTTGATTTTATTATTTTTCGATCACGTTCAGTATTTAACTGTCTTTGAACTTGTTTTGTGGCTTGTTTAAGCCAGGAATTTCGACGTATACCAAAACAACAAAAAGTAAATACGCTTAACTTCGGCAAAACCATAGATATCATTCATAGGTGTAGACAAAACGTTGAGTGGCGTGTCTATATTATTTATACAATATAAGTTGTAATTTTATATTATTTATTTATATTTTACCTATCTCTACTCGTACCTTGGTCGTTGAATTTGAAGTTTTTCTTTCGTATTCCCGGTGTAAGCTGACCAAGTAGATGTGCGCGTGCGTGATGAATACTGAGCCTTTCTTCGCGCCCATTCCTGAATAACCGCAGTTTGTCTTGGCACACGTCCCAAAAGTAATACAATTGCGGCATCCATGTTCTAGAAGAAAAAAATATTTGTATAGAAAGTTGATTCAAACTAACAAAAAAAAAAGATGAATTAATTATTTGCCCTGTGATTTATACTGTAAATTCATTATATTTAATATTTATCTTAGGTAATAAACCATATGTTCAGTTTTATAGCAATGTTTCGAGTTTAATTAGATAACTATTACATAAGTGGTCCTGTTTAGCAAATAATTAAGTTGAAAAGAACTGGTGAGTGTTCAAGGTTGGATGCATGAAAATGATTCTGTACCCTTAAAATGTCTTTTGTACTTCAAACAAAGTAAAGAACTTGTAAAAATGTTCACGTCGTTGAAGAAAATACGTACAAAATTGTATATACGGTTTTTCTTTTATTATTCACATACTCTGCATTGTCACCATTCTACACTGTTTGCAAACACATTACATTAACATTCAAAGACTTGACTCGAAAGACGTTGCTAGGAGACGTTTCTAATTGACGAGCTATACTGATAAAAGGAAACAGCAGGTAGATAACAGTGGAAGGAAAACTTTATAGAAAAGCAGCTTTTACATTGTATTATAATTTGCCAATAAACTAGAATACTTGACAGTACTTAAAATAAAATGAAGCACATACAAATATATTTGTTGTAAGAAGAACTTGTTACTTTCGAGTGAACATAACTGGAAAGGGGGATTTGGAGGGAATAATCAAGCTTATGTCAATATTACGTGACACCAAAAATGGTGTCTATGTTAAGTCTTCATAGCTAAGTCTACACGCTAGTATAAGCAACAACTAATAGGAGACTCACAACAGAGAGCCTGTGGGATGACAGAATTGTGGCTCGTGTTAATGGGATTAAATATAAGGTGTTTCTGACAGATTAAAGCTTTAGTAAATGACGAGGTTTCTCTGGCTACGTCATAGCACTTAGTAACGAGATTTTTATGACAGGTAAAAATATTCAACAGATGGCTAGAAGAAAACGTTCATTGATTTATTAAATACTTAAAAACTAAATACGTACTCTATGAAGTTTGCTTATACTAATATTCAGAAGTTCATTACTGATCAGAAAACAATAAAAAAATCAATGTGTAGTTTTTTATTAGCATGAAAAACCCGGAAAACACAGCTTAGTTGATGTTATATATTGCAGCGGGGTACTGAAGAAGGGAATTTTTTAGGGAATACTCAATGTTTTGTCAACTTGATATGAAACCAAAAATGGCGTCTCTGTTAAATTTTCTTAGCTACTTATTTTCTATTTTCACTTGTAGTTAAAGCTGCCATCTAGGGATTATATGATGTAATGAGATAATTCGAAATAAAGTTAAAAAGTATAGCAACAGACCTGTAACATTTGAGCAACTTCTTTTTGGTTACATTCTGCCACATTTTGTCCATTGATTTCCAAAATTTGATCTCCCTGCATAACACTTCGACCTTGTTGAGCTGCTATACTACCAGGATGCTGAGTAGAAATTTATACATTCATAATGACCATTAAAATATTCTTGAAAAAAATATTCAAGATTGTATAATATGTATACATGTTATTTGTTAGTATTAACAACACGACAATTTACTAGTTTCGTGTACATTTTTCTGAACGTAGGATTTCATTCCTACATCATTATCACTTTGTGGATAACATAATTAAACAACTTGTCTGGTATGATGCCATTTTGTGATGAACTATACAATTAACTTACCTACTTCAGCGCCATCTGGACATATCACATTACTAAGTAGCTGCATCAATAGGTTAAGTAAGTATTTTCATTGTTAAGTATTTCTTATTCAATAAATTGTGATATTTCTCTTTTTTAATTAAAAATATGACAGTTTACAAAGTTTATTATTCAACGTCAAATTTTCAAATTTGCTATGTTATATTAATAAACAGAAACCACGATACAGTTTGATTTTATTTTTTCAATTTGATGTGCTGATTTTTCTCTAATAGAGAAAAATATAGAGAAAAATAATTTTGTATTTGGCATTATATAACTACGTAAAGTTTTAAGAAAATTAATATAGAATCTTTCAAGTTCACAAAACTATCCTAAATATATAAAAGATCATTTCATATCAGCCGTAAAAATTATTTAAGTTGCCTTGATTCATGTGTATTTCATAATAAATATGATACATTTGTCTAGTATTGCAGGCTGGCAGATTGTGAAAGTTGCGTACTATTTGGTACTGTTACGACAGCGGAAGTCACGTGACGCTGGTAACACGTGATGATATTCTAGAAGGATCGGGGAACCTCACGAACGTCCCAGCGTTTGCTAGACGCCCTCTATTTTAATATATTAGTCCGGCAAATAAAGCGGAGAAGAGAAGTGACGGCATAGATAATTGCAGACAGGCAGAGATAGAGACGAATAATTGAGTCAAGCGCGGTAATGACCCAAAGTAAAC